TCTTGCATATTGACAAAAATGAACACATCTGAAATACCAACTGTTGATGAGGATTTGGAACAGCGGGAATACTGGTGCAGTGCCGTTGGAAGTGTAACTGGAAACAATTTTAAAAACTCTTTGGCCCTTTCTGGCAAGGTTGAGTTTGCATGAACAGAAACAGGTACAAAACTATTTATAGCAGCATTGTTTATGAGAGAAAAAACAAAAACTAACAAAACAGATAAAAAATTATGTAAGCAATCTAATTGTTCATTAAAGGTAAATGGATTTTTACCAAATGGCATATTCAAGTAATTATGTTCTATACAGAAATGAAAAAGAGTGAACATCAATATGGATGGATCTTAGAAACAGGATATTGAGTGAAAAAAGCAAGTCACATGACCTGGCCATTATTGCTCAGTGGTTAGAGCACTGGCCCAAGAACCAAAGGCTTATAGGTTTGATTCCTGGTCAAGGGCACTTACCTGGGTTGCAGGTTCAATCCCTGGTATGCTCAGGGCTCGTGCAGGAGGCAACCAATTGATGTGTCTCTTTCACATTGATGTTTCTCTCTCTTTCTCTCTCCTCTCCCTCCCTCCCTTTCACTCTCTCTAAAAATCAAATGGAAAAAATATCTTTGGGTGAGGATTAACAAAAACAAAGCAAGTCACAGATGACTGCTTGGAGTATGAATGTATTTATACAAAGTTAAAGAGCAAATCAAATTAAACAATGTACTGTTAAGGATACTATATTAATTTGTTAGGACTGCCATAACAAAGTACCACAGACTGGGTGGATTAAACAAAAGAAATTTATTTTCTTGTAGTTCTGGAGGCTAAAAGTCCAAGATCAATAAATAAGCAGGGATGGGTTCTTTTGAGGCCTCTCTCCTTGGCTTGCAGATGGCTGTCTTCTCCCTGTGTCTTTGCATGTTCTTACCTGTGTACATGTCTGTGTCCAGATTTCCTCCTCTTATAAGGACACCAGTTATGTTGGATTTAAGGCCCACTCTAATGACCTTATATTAACTTAATCATCTCTTTAAAAACCCCATCTCCAAATACAATCATATTGTGAGGTACTGGGGGGTTAGGACTTCAACTGATGAATTTTGAGGGAACACAATTTAGCTCTTTATGCGTGTGTGTGTGGGGGGGTATTATATATATATAATATAGCTATAGTGAAAAGCAAAAAATAAAATAGATAACTAAAATCAAAATAGTGGATACTCTTAGGGGGCTTGGTGAGGGTTGAGTCCAGGAAAAAGCACACAGGAGATTCCGATGGTCTTTGTGACACTCATGCGTGAGTACGCTGATGTTCATTTATTGTATCCATTATGTATGTTCTTTTGTGTGCTTGAAAATAAAAGGTACTTATATCAGGACAGTTTGGGGTACATGCAACAGGAATCTAACCAAATTAGCTTAGAAAATCTGTTGGCTCAGTATCTGAGAATATTAGAAATCAAGGTGGTTTAAACATGGATGGATCCTAGGACTCAAATGTTATCATCAGATTCCTCACTTGCTCACTCTCCCCTTCCACGTATGCTTCCTTTCATCCATGGAAAGAAGTTGCTTTGGGTTTGAGCACAAAATTTGCTCGGTTTCCCTGAAGATTTTTCATTGTTAAATTGTCATTCATACTTAAATGATTTGGATTGCTATACAATGAAATAGTAAATTAGTATCCTGGATAAATTTTTATAACTCACCAATGCTTTTAAATTTATAAATAAAGAACATTTCAGGTTAAATTATGGCTTTCCTATTTCCATAGCTAATTCATTTCAAACAATATTTCTGAAAAGAAAATGGTGAATAATAGTAGGGTCCTCAAGTTCATAGTCTTATAGTTTTGGAATAGGTAACTAAATCTATAAAAGATGCAGAGTAAATTCCTGAACATGTGTTAATTGTGAAAGTTCCATATTAGCTCATCTTCTAAAATTAGTGGTATTTATATCTCCAGAAAGGAGCAATAGATGAGGTGACAATTACAGAGGACTCTCACTGACAATGGAAACATTCAAGAAGATTTGAACAAAGCACCTAGAAGAACAGAATTGGATTATATTTCTCTTCTTTATAACTCTTGAGGATATATTATTTTGCACACTAGTACAAGAAGGAAAGAAATATTAAAAATTAATTACAAAACATTCAGCAGACATGTATATATGGTATGTGCCAGGGACTCCACTTATTGAGCTCTTATTATGTGCCATGGACTACATGTTCAACTGTAGTATATGCAATTTCTCGCACATTTTTCTCTGGCTCAATTGAATTTAACTAGGTCAAATACTCCTGTAAAGGGATAAAAAGTAGATCAGTGGTTGCCTGAGGGCAGAGGAGGGAGTGTGGATTGGATGTCATTTATTTTTGAAATTAGATTTTTGAGATTGATGGGCTTGCCTAATCAACAACAAACATTTTATAGTCTAGTCATTTACATATAATTACTTTCTTTTCAGGCTATGGTTGTTTCAAAAGAAAAACATAAATTTAAAAGGGAACTTTTTGGAGTAATGATAGTGTTCTAAAACTGGATGGTAGTGATGAATGACTTTTCAAAAGGTTTTCTCTCCCAAATCCTATGAATTAAAAAATAGAGCCCAATGTGATATTGAAACTTTGTACCAATATTAAAAATGCTTCTGTGGCTCTGGCTGGTTTGGCTCAGCGGTTAGAGTGTCGGCCTGCAGTAAAGAGAGACCCGGGTTCGGTTCCCACTATGGGCACGTACCTCGGTTGCAGTTTGTCCCCGGCCCTGGTTGGGTTGTGCGAGGCAGCCACTCGATGTGTCCCTTTCACATTGATGTTTCTCTCTCTCTCTCTCTTACTCTCTCTCCCTCCTGCTCTATCTGAACAAAAAATGGAAAGATGTCCTCTGGTGAGGATTTAAAAAAAAATGTATAAAAAAAAAAATGCTCTGTGTATCAACATTATGTGAAATAGGTATTTGTGCATGAAAAATATTTTTAAAGAACAATTATAAAACTTGATCTATGTTTTTGTGATTATTTTATCTTACAGTTAATAATATATTAACTAGAAATTTTAAAACTCAAGAAAAATAATTATGTCTATGATAAACATTTAATTTTATTTAGTAGACAAGTTTTAAGGTGTCATATTTAATTAATAATTATAGGCACAAATATAAAAACATCTATCTGAACTCTTGCAGTTTATGCACATTTTATGTAATTATTCTCTACAGAGAATAGCTCATTTAAAATAAAATTCTTTTTTTTTTTTTTTACTTTTATTTGCATTTATTTTATGCTGAATTTATTTCTGGGTCATAAGTTTTTCTTTCTTCAGTTTCATCTGGGATATCTTTTTCTTCTGTGCTCTCTCCTCTTCTGGTTTAGGAACAGTCTTCTCTTTTTCAGCAGGATCATCTCAGTGTGGCAGGGGGAGCTCAAGTATGGGTTAATCCGCCCATGAACTCTGTAAATTCTGTGCTGCATCTTGGTGGCTTTGTTAACCTGGATATGCTCAACATCCAGAGACTCTACATCTAAAGCCTTACATTCAGCATTATTCTCTGCACTTGAAAGCATGTGCAGTAAAAATTCAGCACTCTTTTGGGGCCACTGACCCCACATCCAGCCCCAGTTTTTGGGTTGGGCACACCTACCAACTCCACCATTGTAATACTGAATGGCACACATTGCTTCCGTAAAGTGACATCCTTCAGATTTAACAGCGGTTCTCAACCTGTGGGTTTGGGAGTCGAATGACCCTTTCACAGGGGTCACCTAAGACATAACAGTAGCAAAATTACAGTTATGAAGTAGCAACGAAAGTAATTTTATGGTTGGAGGTCACCACAACATGAGGAACTGTATTAAAGGGTCACGGCATTAGGAAGGTTGAGAACCACTGCTTCAGATACTTGGTGGGTTTTTGGATATGCATACCCTTGGTGGCCTGGGCAATATCACAAGTGTTCTTTTTTTTTTTTTTTTTTTTTTTTATCATCCTCACCCGAGGATATTTTTCCATTTTTTGTATAGATAGAGTGGGAGGGGGAGAGAGAGAGAAACATCGACGTGAAAGGGACACATCGAGTGGCTGCCACCCGCACGACCATCCAGGGCCGGGGACAAACCGCAACCGAAGTACGTGCCCTTAGCGGGAACCGAACCCGGGTCTCTCAGGACCGCAGGCCGGCGCTCTCACCGCTGAGCCAAACTGGCCAGGGCTATCACAAGTGTTCTTAAAGTGAACATGAAGAATTGAACCTCTTGATTTGCATGATTTTGTGGGGGGATTTCTCGGTCAAGTGTATAGTGAGCCATCAGGCCACTTAGGGGAAGAGCTAAAATAAATTCTTAAATTATGGCCCTGGCCAGTGTGGCTCAGTTAGTTAGAGTGTTGGCCCATGCACCAAAGGGTCACAGGTTCGATTCCTGGTCAAGGGCCCATATCTGGGAGGCAGGTTTGATTCTCAGCTCCCAGTAGGTGCTTGTGCAGGAGGCAACCAATTGATGTCATTTCGATGGTTCTCTATCTCTCTCTCTCCCTCTCTCCACTTCCCTTCCAGTCTCTCTAAAAAACAAAAAATCAATGGAAAAAAGTATCTTCTGGTGAGGATTAACAACAACAACAAAAATTCTTAAATTATGTTTTTTCCTTATTGTGAATTATATAACATGATCCTTAATATCATACCATAGAAAGCTACAACTTGATAAAATTTGACTTAATTTTTACTGCAAAATTTATATTCAACCTTTAGGTATGTATCAGCTAAAAAGAAAAAAAAAAAGTAATCATTTGTGTCCTCAGAAAAGTAGGCAACCTTATTAATCCACATTAACCCGGCCCCAGCCTCTCTGACATCAAGGTTTCTCTCTCTCTCTCTCTCTCTCTCTGTCTCTCTCTCTCTTTCCCTCTCCCTCCCCCCGCCTCTCTTCCACTCTCTCTAAAAATCAATGAAAAAAATGTCCTCGGGTGAGGATTAACAAAAATAAAATAATAATAAAAAAGTTTCATTTTTAGTACCAGACTTGCAGAAAAAGCATATTCCAGAGGAAGAAGAGCCCATCATAGCATGTGCAGTTTTCCTCTGATAGTCCACGGTATTGTTGCCACAGTGATAATGACTGCCCCATGTCATGATCTATCCACCAACAGTAAGAGAAACTTTGCAGTTGAGATATTGTTTAACAGATGGAGTGGTTTCTGTTGGACACTAAGTACCGCTTCACATTTTAAAATAAAGTTACATATTCAGAAAGCCATCTGATAATGACCACATACCTCGAAGCAAGTCAATCAGACCTGGAATGTAAATCTTCAGGGAGCACAAACCCCTGGAGGTGTTGTCATCTGGAAGGTCTGAGGCTCTGTGGAGATGGGCTGTCAGCTTTTGTTCCGTTGGGCTCTGGATCAGCCTTTGGGTCTATGCTCTCCAAGAAATGGTTCTCCAACTTTCCTTTAAATCCCGTGAGCTACTCCAAACTTTTTTATTTTTTTGCTAATTTAGCCCAAGTTCATTTCTTTTGCCCATAGCCAAAGAACCCCAACTCTTACACCTTCCCAACTCTTTTACTACAGTCAGATATAAAGACTTCTACATTACAGTACTTCTCAGGACTAAGGATTAAAGCTGTAAGTTTCAGAATAGCAGCTAAAGGAATATACTACATTTAACCAACACAAATGCTCAAACTAAATGGTTGCTTCCACCTGTTGCTTTGAACCGAGCCGGGCCATGCCCTTTCTAGCCACTCCCAGTGCATCTTCAGCACACCTTCCCGAATCCTCCTTCATTTCCCATGTCTGAGCTGTGGTGTGTGGTTCCTTTTACATCCAAAGGTGTTTTATCAAAATCCAAACAGCTTTCTAAGCCCCAGATCTCTAAAATATAAAACTCCAGACCCATGAACGCTTTCATTTCTCTCAAGCTGACCTACCTCCACTTCCTCCTTCCTTCTAGTTCTTAGACTAACAGACTCCTTTCTCAACAAGGCCACCTGCCACCTCCCACCTGTCTGGTCTTTTATGGTCCCATCCTTTCAGTTGTCACAGCTAGCACTCATTGAACCAGGGACAGTTCCAAACACTTTGTATGAACTACCTCTTTAAATCCTGACAATAGCCCTGTGAGGTAGGGAGTTATATTGCAAACCAGGGAAATAAGGCTCAGAGAAGTTAATTAACTTAAGTTCAGTAAAGATTCAGCCCAGACAATTTAACTCCTGAGCACGTGCTCTGAAACACTTACCATTTTCTGCCTCAATATTCTTTTTTTTTTTTATCCTCACCCGAGGACATTTTCCACTTTTTGTTCAGATCGCGAGGGAAGGAGAGAGAGAGGAAGAGAGAAAGAGAGAGAAACATCGATGTGAAAGGGACACATTGAGTGGCCCACCTCCCACAGGGCCCATCCAGGGCCAGGGACAAACTGCAACTGAGGTACATGCCCCTAGCGGGAACCGAACCTCGGTCTCTCTGGACCACAGGCCGATGCTCTAACTGCTGAATCAAACCGGCCAGGGCTGCCTTGGTATTCTTAAAATTTCTCAACATTGCTCAAAACAACAGCCCTCACCCCCACAATGAAAGTTTTTCTTGATCCTGCATCTTCCTGTGGCCTTTTTTCTTTATTTCCCAGCTTCAATGAATCTACGGTAGTCTAGCTGCTACATTTCTGATCACAAAGGGGTTCCGCCAGGCACAGGGTACCTCCAAACTCTTCACTGAATTACATCACCCGGTCACCAGATGGTTTTGAGCACCCACTCTGTTCCAGAAACTGTGAAATACGCACTGGGTATACAGCAGTGAACTGAACAGAGAGGGCCCCTTCCACCACATAGGTGAGATCATCTCCTACCTGCCAGGTCCAGGGGCCACTTTGGCCACTTCCCAGATGTTTTCCTCCTTAATCTCTGCAGTACTAGTCATGCCAACCATTTCCTCCTTAAAATTTGGCTTTATCTTGTTTCCATGAAGCCTCTTGCACCTGCTCTCTCTCTCTCTCTCTCCAGGTCCACATCTTCTCAATCCCTTTGATAAGTTCCTTTTTTTCCCTATTGACCCCTTAAACGTTGGAATTCCTCAGAGTTTTATCATGGAGCACCTCAAAGTCAGTAAGCCCTCAACTCATTTTCCCCCCATTCCATTCACATCTTTCCATCCTTATTCCTTGTTCTGGTTAAAGCAGCATATGTCACCCAGGCTCCCTCTCGCTTTCTGCCCCAATACTCTCATCCAATGGTTAGAAAATCCAGTTAGTATTTTTCATCTGTAGGAGTGGAATTTGGGTCTTTTTTTCTTTCTTTCTTTTTTTATCCTCACTTGAGGACATTTTTCCATTTTTTGTTCAGATAGAGTTGGAAGGAGAGAGAGGGGGAGAGAGAGAGAGAAAAACATCGATGTGAAAGGGACACATCAAATGGCTGCCTCTTGCAGGGCCCAGCCAGGGCTGGGGACAAACTACAACCGAAGTATGTGCTCTTAGCGGGAACCGAACCCAAGTCTCTCTAGACCGCAGGCCGACACTCTAACCGCTGAGCCAGACCGACCAGGGAGAATTTGGGTCTTTTAAAAATATCTTGTGTATCTCTAACTTTTTATTACTATTATTATTGTTTTGTTTTGTTAATGCTCTCTCGGGGATATTTTTTCCATTGATTTTTAGAGAGAGTGGAGGGAAGGAGGAAGGGAGGGAGGAAGGGGGGGAGAGAGAGAGAGAGAGAAACATCAATATGAGAGAGACACATCGATTGGTTACCTCCCAAATGACCCAACAGGGGCTGGGATCAAATGTGCTTGACCAGGAATCAAACCCGAGACCCTTCAGTGCTTGAGCCAAAACTCCAACCACTGAGTCACACTGACCAGGGCTACTTCACTTTTTAAATATATGCAATAGTTATAATAACTGTTTTAATGTCCTTCTCTGCTAATTCTAACATCTGTATGGGTTCCCAGTCAGTTTCAATTGATTGATTGTTCCTCTTATTATGAACCACATTTCCTGACTTCTTTGTATGCCTGGTAATCTCTCATTGGATGCCAGACATTGTAAATTTTACCTGTTGCATACTGAATATTTTTATATTTCTACAAATCTTCTTGAGCTTCGGTCTGGCGTACAGTTAAGTAACACGGAAACAGTTTGATCCTTCAGGTCTTGCTTTTATGATTATTTAGGCAGTTCCTAAGCAGTGTACAGTCTGGGGATAATTATTCCCCAGTACTGAGACAAAACCTTCCTGTTTGATCTGCCCAACGCTGTGAATTACAGATCTTTCCAGTCCGGCTGGTGGGAATGGGCACTGCTCCTGGCTCTGTAGGAGCATCAGATACTGTTCTCCAGCAGTACATGACCTCACCCATGTACTGATCAGTACTCTGCTGAACACTGGAGTGGGCATCTCTGGGCATCTCTGCACATCTCCAGGCTCTCCTTCTTTGTCCTTGAGCTCAGTCCTCTGTGCTCTGTCTTATGAGCTCAGTCGCCGATCTCCCCAGACTCTTAGCTCTGTCTCCTCAGTCAGGAGGACCACTGAGCCCAGTAGGGTTTCCCCTCTCTGTAGCACAGTCTGGAAACTTTCTCAAGGCAGTTAAGCTGGGGCAAGCAATCATAGGGCTCAGCTCATTTGTTTCCTGTTTCACAGGGATCTCTGTCCTTTGTTGCCTGATGTCCAGTGTTATATATATGGTTGGTTGTTGTTTCAGGTAGAAGGGTAAAGTCAGACTTGTTATTCCGTACTGACCAGAAAAGGAAGTCTTGCAATGAAATCTAACACATCAGCTTATCTCAAACTTTTGCGATCTGTTCTTCTCATTTCACCAGAGCCTTATTTTTCCTAAAATATTAATCTCTTGTTATTCTCCTGCTTCAAGCTCTTTTATAGCAGACCAACTATTTATAAAATAAAATTTGAGCCGCTTAGCATGGCATATTTCATGCCTTCATGATGAGGCCCCTTCCCATCCCTCTACCGCCCCCACCCCTGCCATTTCCCCATATGTTCTATTGGCTCTAACCAAATCAAGGTATTTATAGTCTTCTCCATCCCACTAATCAGCACTTACCAACACAGGCCTGGTTTTTGCACACATTGTTTCTTCTGCCTGGAATATTCTTTCTCATCTTCCACCTGGTGAACTCTTCTTTAACCTAGAAGATCTTTTCAAGCATAGGTAAACTTTTGCCACCAAGTAAAATTGCTACTCTGCCTTATTGAACCACTATGAACTAAATATTGTGTGTGTCTCTTTTCTAGCACTTATCACTCTGTATTATATATATTTGCTTATGTGTCTGTTCCCACTAATATAGAGAACATTCTGAGAGGGTAAAGAATGTATTTTCTTTATATGCCCAGTGTTTATCCAACCAATAACTATTTAATGAACTCTTCACCATTTCTGGGCACTATTCTATGTCCTGGAGATACAACACTGAACAAGACAGAGTCCTTATCTTCATGGATTTTACATGGGAGGGAAAGGGGCAGTTAATAGATGTAGAAAAGTATAGCATATCTACAGAACAGAAAAGGTTGGAATGCTGTTACAGTCACCCAGGGAACAGAGGTGATATTAGCTTGGAATAGGATGAGGGAGGAGAAAGGGGAGAGAACTGGATCCACTTGAGACACATTTCTGAGATAAAGTCAGTGGGGTTTTATATATGGATTTTTGGGAATGAGAAGGAAAAACAGGATGACTTTTACATGATAGATGCCTAATAAATTCATGTATAATTAAGCTCCTTGACTGTTAAAAACTTGTTTTAAAAAGATGAACCTATGGATTTGATTTAGAAGCTAACTGGCCAATTTTACCAGGAACATGAGCCTTATACAGACTTGTTACCAGAGAATAGTGAACATTGAGCAAAATGGGTAAAGGTGGTCAAAATGTACAAACTTCCAGTTATAAAATAAATAAATCCTGGGAATATAATGTGTAGCATAGTGATTATAGTTAATAATACCATATTGCATATTTGGAAGTTGCTAAAAGAGTAGATCTTGAAATTACTCATCAAAGAAAGCATAACTATGTGTGGTGATAGATGTAAATTAGACTTACTGAGGTGATCATTTTGAAATATATACATATATAAAATCATTATCTTGTACACCTGAAACTAATATAATTTTATACATCAATTACATCTCAATAATAAAAAAGAATAGCTATATTGAGGTTATACTCCAGAGTTAGACTAATTTGGCTTTACCCTTA